CTGGGGGTGGGGGGGGGTGGAATCGCTTTTAACCAAGAAAGAGGAGAACATACTTACTGTCCTTTTGTCATGCTACAATGGCAATTTTAATTTTGAAGGCATGTCTCCCTATTGTAAAGAGAGAATGTGTCTTTAATAACAAGGTAAGAATAACAGTAAGGAGCAATCTTTGAAATTCTTTCTTTGCATTTAAAAGGATCTTTTTGTAAATTGTTCTGCAAATTTGTTTATAAGCAAGCTGAACATAGAATGAAAAACGTTACCTGATACATTTGTGCCTCATATATAACAATTGTACCAAAAGACTGTGTTTTAATAGTGCTCAGGTAAAAAGTCAAGCATTCAGAAGTTAGGAAATGCCTGAGTTGTATTGTTACAGCCTCTGACAGCACCAACAAAGAGCCTGTGGCCCTGGGCTGGAGCATGTTGGGTGCACCTAGATTCTTCAGGAAACTCAATTTAAAATTCCAAGTTTCTCAATATTAATGCAAAACTTACAAGGTGACGTTTCAGCAACAGCAAAAGTATAGTTTTAGTGTAACCTTTTATCCCAATTTTAAGTCCTTGTACTAAAGTTGGGAAATACTAGAGATTATCAGCAAAGCCATTATAAGAATTCTCATAGCATAGGCAACCCAATGTATTTTTGCAAAATTTACTTGGTAGGTATGCCTAGCAACCTGGAGGCATACGCATATATGCCATAATACCTGTCCAAAGTAGAAACATCTGAAGGAAACCTGCTTACAGAAAGAAGCAGCAATTTTCTATGGAACACTGTTATGTTGCTGTCTTATCATGCTTCATTTCATGTTCTACAAAATAGTGCTGCCACCTCACAGTTTTATTATTAAACCAATGATATTTGGTGGAGGATCTTTGCCTGTTTTCTATTTTAGATTCTCAGAGTGGTGAAATGACATGGAAATACCAAACTACTTTCTTTAAAATATCTTTCCAATTCTTATAATTTCAAGACAGAGGAGTAATAACTTGAAGGGAGTTATAAAATGTGCTTCAGTACTCTTAAATGTTTAAAACCCAGCAGTAAGTAAAGTGAGTATTTCTGTTCTGTTTAAAGCAGAATGTCATCAGCGTTAGGACTGCTGCTTGAGTTTTAATTGTCACAGGATAAGGGATATTTATTTAGTCTTCCTAAGGTATGAAGTCTGCTAAAAATACTGGGCAATAACAGGGCTCTGAGCTGCGTCTGACTTTCCTGTTCTTTGTTTTAATAGTTTCTAGTTTCTGAGTGCATGTACTTTTTTCTATGGTACTCTGTAACAAATAGTTTCTTATTACTTACGTAGTAAGTTTAAAGGAAAGAAAAAATTAAAAAAGAAAAACCAAAAGAGCCAAATTATCATTACAGAATAACACTTATTTTTCATTTCTTCTAGATAAAGACCTTGACAAGCTCTTATCACTCTTAAAAAGTCCAGAGAAGCAAACTGGGTGGACAGAAATTTGTAGAAAACAGTTCTGCAAAGTCATGAAAGCCAGACCAGGTGTCATCAGTGGAACAAGTGAGTATGACTTACTGAGTTTTAACAAAGCAAGTAAACAGAAGGCCACTGGTAAGCAATTGTTCTTTAAAGTTTATTGAGGGTTATGTTATCTATACAAGCAGTCAATAATTTTGTGTTGATGATGAAAACTATTTCAATGGGATTTTCCTAAGAAAGCAAAGTTTATGCCTCATGCCATATTTTTCTTTCTTTATGGCTGTCTTCCCTCTATGTTGGCTGTTTTCAGGGAAATTTGACACAGAAAGAGGGCTTAAATAAGTCTTTGTTTCAGATCTCTGAAGGGTCTATTATTGAGATGCTGAGAAAATGGAAAAGAGAGCGTGAGAGGAAACAGACATTTCCCAGAGATCAGTAGTAACTTTAAGATGGGTTGGGAAATTATATTAATGGCCAATTTCAGTAAAAATTTTCAGTATTAAGCCATACTAAGCATCAAAGAACCCACTCATTCAGATTTTTCTTCATTTTCATACGTATTTTCTAGTGAAGAGTGCACTTATGCAGGACCATTGGTATAGATCAGTTAAAACAATAAACCCGCCAAAACAAACCAGTCATCACCCATATGACACAAATCATCAGAAATCAGACTTAATCATTCACTTGTAATGTTATATAAACTTGTGTAGCAATAAAGAAGTTAGGTGTTTTCAGAAATTTTTGGCTTCCATTTCTGTAAGAATTCTAGTTATAGTCAGATGGTCAGTACATAGTCTAACTTTTTCTTTACAGATGCCAAAGATTTCCCTTTAAATTCTTTAGGTAAGCAATTAATACAACTGATGATGAAAACAGATGAAATATCTTCTATATGGGATCAAAGTAACCCAGAATTTGTGTTCTAAATAAGAGATCTGAATTTTATGGTAAATTATGTAGCAATATTAAAGTTACAGGGTGGTTTCGGAAGCCTTAAGGAAGTCATTTATACAGGAACTGATTTAATATTAAAATAGGTAATAGGAAATTTGTCATTTATATAACATAGTTAAAGTCAATAATTATTGAATGTTTCTAAATTCTGAGCTTTCTGTTCTTACTGCTTGTTTGAAACAAGCTTGAGTCTATAGTCTTAGGTGATTGTAAATTAGTCAGAGCTTTCACCTTCCATTTGGAAGGATGTGTGTGTAGACAGAATACATATGTATTTATATGTACTGCATATATGCACTTGTAATATACATTATATTGTACACTTCCACAAATGCATGCATTGAGTTAGCTTTGTGAAACAAGTGAACAAGTAGAGATTCATAACCATTCAGAAACAACTGAATGTATTTTATATGAGCTTCTGCTAGTATAAGAAAAAATAAATTTAAGAGTAGCAAATAAAAAAACCCTAGATTTTTCTAGAAAAATTGTATGTTTACTTTTCTTGCATAACTCTGATCTAGTAGTTCAGTGAGGGATTTTTTTTGGTGTTATGTATTGTGAAGCACAAATACTTTAGTCTTTGTAAAATCAATTTTATTTGAATGCAGCATATTTTCTAGATGGATCTTTTCTTGGATTATGTGACATTTTTGTTGAAAATTGTTAGTCTGTCTTCCTGCCTCTAACAGGAATTATTTGTTGAAAAAACATATTTTTACAAAACCCAGAACATACACTTAAAGTAGGTGGCTTACAAAGAAAAAGAAAAATCTTTCATTTTGTCCTTTGTAGTTACCCATACACAGCCTCAAAACCTGTGTAGGTTGTTTTCTGCAACTTTGTTGGAGATTCCAGAAGGTAGAATGAGGAATTAAAGAGAGTCATTAAGATTTGTTAACCCAAAGCAAAAAATTATGCTTGCTTTTGGATAACTGTTTCCAGCTGAGATGGAATTGGGGGTAAAAGTCAGCAAGAAAGTATCTGTGAAATTGTTAAGCCTCACAGGGATTTCTGCAAGTGCTTTCACAAACCACACAAAGTAAAGTATGAAAATAGAAACAGAATAGCATAACAAAACACTAAATAAATAAATAACAACACCATACAAAAGAATAGTAATATTATGAACTGAGAGTAAGTACTGGTAATTTAAAATGGATGCAAAGCTGTTCAAATGTTGCCTATCTGCTTGGAGATATTTCAGAAGCAGCAAAATATCTGCTGGCTATGTGGTTTGAGACATCATGTTCATTGAAACTGTTTTATGAGAGACAGCTGTGCTGCTATGTATCTTTTGCAGCATGTGAAGCTCTCCCAAATTTCAGAGGGCTGAGAGGCTTCAGTCCACATTCCAAGAAATGAAAACCTTCTCTTTAGTTACAGATGGAGCAAACTCCAAGGATTATAGAACAAAGATGCACACTTATGCTTCCTCTACTGGGCCCCTTCTAAGGGAAACTAACATTAACAGCAGTTGAACCAGAACTTAATCAGCAAAGACAACATTGGATTCAATGACCATATAGTGTAGTGTCTATTGATTTTTTTTTTTAAATATTTTATATATGACTACACACTCCTAAATTAAAATTCTCTTTATTTTGAATATGTGGATTAAATTTGCACAAGGTAATTGCCAGTCTCTTAAAACCTTCAGTGTTAATACAGCCAAGCTGCCATAATTAAAGAAAATCAACATTTTCACCAAGTTGGTAGGCCACAACACTAATCTCTGTCTCTGAACATAACCTCTGCATGAGAATGTGGGCTTTTGCAACAATAATGACTGTACCATGCAATGAACTTTCCTAAATGTTTTTTGTCTACTTTCCCAGTTAAATGAAAAATCACTAAGCCAATTTCCACCTTTATAAAGATTTTCAGGGAGTGTCCAAATGGCAGCTAAATGATTTAGTATTAAAAGACAAAAAATAAAATAACTACTTTTCATTTCACATGGACATTCTTTTGGAAGAGAGAGTGTCCTGTGAAAACCCTCTATTCATGTATTAACCACATTTGTTTTGGTAAATTCTTATGTATGTGTCTCTCAAACTTGATTAAAAGCTCTTCAAAGATCCTGATAGGTACTTAGATAAATACTTTCAAATGGTGGAAATCAATTTAGTGCTTGAATTTCAAAAGATTGCTTAGCAGTTGAGCTGTCACTTCTCCCATTAACTCAAGCACTGAACTGAAATATTTGACTGCTAGGTCAAGCGTATGGATACCTTCCAACAAAAAGGGAAGAAATGTACAATGTTCTGACTTTGTTTTAAATGTTCTAAATTATGTAGTATTTTAGTCTTTTTAACATAGTTCCTGTTTGTTGTTATAGTATGGCATATTTCAGTAATCACACTACTAATAACCATACTGTAAACATCTAACTAGTTACAAATTTTAAGTTAAATTTCTGCTTTTTGCTTTCTACAGCTCCAGGTGTAGACACTTTTGCTCATTTTACACAAATACTTATTGTTTGTGGACCAAAGTCCACTAAGCATATTAGTGAGGATTAGGGAGATTGTTTATTTGTTCATTCTCACAAAACGAATGAACTTGTACTCTTCTATAAAATAAACTGCTTTTTGCTAGCCCCATGTGGTTTGTTAACCATGATTATACATAGCTATATTATATTTAATTAACAGTTTCTTTGCTCCATAAAAATACATAAGAATATAAATTACACTTGTAATTTTTTTGTTTCAATTTAGTAGTTGTTTGTGATGAAAAATTAATTTTGTTACACTTGGAGCTGGCAACTCTAACTGTAAATCTGTGTTGAGCTGTTGTAGTGAAACTTTTCCCCTTTGCCCTACTCATCAACATAGTATTACCAAAACTCAACCTTTTAAAAACTTTTTCTGGACTCATTCAGTGTAAATGAATTTCTGTAAATGTTTTAGACAGCTAATCAAGAAAAAAAAATCATGATTTAATGTCACTATCTTAGCTTGAAATGGTTGGAAGAAGAGTTAATTGTCTTTGTTATCTTTTTCTTCATTGTTTTTCTGGCATAACAAGCGTGTGAATGGGGGTTCTGTCTTCTCCTCCTCAGGCACAGAAGAGCTTGCACTGCAGTCTCCTGTGTTAGTTTTCCTGTCAGCAAGGCTAGCTCAAGAGTTTTCTAGCTTTCTCCATTGCCACCTCCACCATAGGTTGTTACGCCTTACTTGTGCTGCTACAACTGTTTATACAGCTATCTGCTAAAATGGTGTAGTGGAGTTATTCGATCTAAAGCCAGCAAAACCACCTGTGGTTGGAGTTATGGGCGGGAATGCGGGGACCAGGGGCTGAAGCTTCAGTGCTATTAAATTGATACCAAAGAAATGGTATCGTGCAGTCTTAAAACAGGAAATCCCACACATAGCAGCACTTGTTACTCCCTAAATACACTTCCTTGCCTTGAATTATTGTGAAAAGAAGGTTATATCACTGTTCTTTAAATCCTGTTTATCATGACAACAGAAGCTGGTTTAGAATAGCATTTACTTATAAAAAATGTTCATAGTTGCTATCTTAAATTTTTAATATGGTTTATCCCAATATGGACTTCCTCCATGCCATATGCATAAAGACTTCCTTGTATCTTTTGTTTAAACCTGTAAGGTGACATGTGCTCAGTTGCAGTAGCCTCAAACTTGCAGAATTGAGGAACTGGGAACAGGTTTTGTTAATGATTTGTCGTGGAGAGTTCTTGCTAACTTCCTGGCTAACATCCTGTTAAGGTGGGAAATAAAATTTCCTACATAGGGACCAGATGTCAGCATCCGACTTATCTATGCAGTATCTGCAGACTCAAAGTTCCATGGCAAGAACTGAAGAACATCATTATGGTCATCATAAAATACAGAATTTCCCAAAGGAAATGCTCCTATTGTTTAATTTTAAGTGAATAATTTTTATCTTGTGATGGCATAGGTGGTTTTATATTGTGTTTTTTGAAACAGCTCTTAAAACTTCATTTACTTTTGTTAGCATCATTTTGGGGTGGTGTGCATTTTTTGTTGTGTGTGGGTTGTTGGGTTTTTTGTTTGTTGCGTGTTTTTTTTTTCATTCCTGTCTACATATACAGACAAATGTGGTAAGATATTGTAGTTTAATTATAGTTAATTTTCATGTCATATTGAAACCGTGTAACAAATCCTGAAGTAATCCTTGGAGGATATAAAGATAATATGGGATTCTCTTTCCATTTGCACTGAATATATTTTCAGTAAAGCTGTTAAAATTCAATTTAAGTTAGGAATGGTGTTAGAAATGCAAAAGTGCAATGCATGCTTTGAATTATTCCCTCTTTATTCATAAACATGCAGGAATTCAAATAGCTTTAGTTTTTCACATATTGTCATTTTGTTAGGTAATGTAGTTCCACATTTTGTTCATTGCCTCTAATGTTTTAATGAGTTTTTACTTTTTGCAGTTTTGGCAGAATTAATTGAAAAGTTCGTGTTGCATCTTTCTGAAAGCCAATTGGATTGTTATTTCAGCACAGGAGACTATAAAGGTCAGTTTCCTAATAATTTATTGTTATGCAACCTCTTCGTATTTAAATTACTTTCTTTCCAAATGTATCTGTAGCATTTTGGGGGTTGTTTAAAATGTTCTTTAAGAGCTCAGAAATTCATTACTTAACTGGTGGGGAATACCTCACTTTGGAGCAAAAGATAATATGCTTGACTAAACAGTACGTTTATTTATTAATGATGGGCTTTCACATTTCTGTACGTGTAATGGAAAGACGAAGATGCAGAACAGGTGAGGGTATGATTCAAAGTATTTGTTAACACCTATTAAAGAATGATTTGCAAAGCTGGTGGCAAAAACATTTAAGATGGTGTAAGCAATCTGGCTTACCTTTTGAAAGCCCCATAATATATAGTCAACACAAAGGTATGCAATTTATATTGCATTAAAGGATGGGTATTAAAGAACTGCTATTGTTGGCAGGGTAATCTGCGTGTTAGTTTTGTACAGATGTCATGCTTACAGCCAAGAATAAAGGATTAATGATAAAGTTAATTTATTCTGAGTGTAAAGTAATACATTTTAATATTTTGAAGTACTTGCAAAATTAGAAGATTTAGAAGCATTGTTAATATCTGCTAGAAAATGCACTTTCATTCTTTACTATCTGTCCAAGACTTTTCTCTTAGGTTGTAGTTCAGTCGTTTAGAGTACTTATTCTGCCACTAACTCTGGAGAAGCAAGCCTGCTTTGAGGAGAGTCTGTTATTTATACTGGTATTTTATTCTCACATCCATAGGATGCAATTATAGTGTCCTTGGAGACTTCAGACTTGCCTTTGAAGTTTCAAAGCATAAAACCCCTTTAGTAATTTAGAGGATCTCTTTCTTTTATGTAGTGGCCTTTACCTTCTGAAAGCTTGCTAACGGAATACTCATAATTTTATTTGAGAATCTGTCTCTCTGCTTAATGAAGACAATTGCTGAAGTGACAATTCTTTCTGTCACTATTTTATTTTTCCTTAAAAGATCCTTACAGGGTTTTTGTTGTCCTGCATTAGTTTGTCATTTACTTTTCAACTTCTCAGGAGGCATTATGAGCAATAAAAATCTTTTCATGGACTCGTAAGACTTGCTGTTTACATATTTCTGACACTTCCCAATTCAAATTGTGATTTTGATTGTTCCTTTAAAAGCCCACATAATGTCTTCATGATGATAATTTCTTATTTGACACCTAGACTTGTCCTTCCTGCTCCTCTCTGTACATCCCTTTTTAGGTCGCAGTTCAAAGTGTCACACATTCTCCAATGATATGGAAGGCCCAGCTGTAGTTTTCTTTTCTATCTTGGGCAATGCCTGTCTTGCATTTCTTTGGAGAACAGCATAGTCCACAGACCTAACTTTTCAAGATTATCTTAGTGTTTCTTGTTAGAAAAACAGGAAAACCCGCTTAGTTTGAATAAGGCAAAAACTAAATGAAGGAGGAACAGTCATCTAACTGGGCAACCTCTAAGTGGATGCCTTGCCCAGCAAAGGCAGCATCCTGATGTTTCTTAATCATAACAGCTAAGCGCCTCCATCTGATGTGGAAGAACTCTAATGAAGCACTAGTCCATACTCTGTTCACTTAAATGGCGAGTACCTTAATTTCAATCCACTCTTCTCAACCTTTTGTTCAAAGCTAGGATTTAATTTAAAACATGTTCAGGAAAGCTGAACCTGGATCTTCTACTTCATTAATTTCACCATGAAGCAGCGATTAGGTGGAGGTGACATCAACACTACATTATTTGTCTAAAATTTAATGCCAACTTTGAAGAAACACCAGGTTTGAAAGTCCTGTGACAATTGCATACATCAAATTAATTTGGTGTATGGAAAATGGAAAATCCCAGAGAATAGGTACAGGAAAACAAAGATAGCATAGTAAAAGCCTTAATTCTGGATTTTTCTTGAGCTTGACAGATTTTCTTTCCATGATAAACCAACCCAGTCTGTATGACATTCGTTTTTGTATTTTCTGAATACTACTTTTTTCAGTCTTATAAAGGCACTGTTGGTTATTAATTCTGGAAAAGTTTGCCTGTTCAGTTCTGAAATAAAAGCTCCAAAATTAAAGGATTGGCCTATGAACAATTTTCATTTGCAAATGTTTTTGATATCCTGTATGCTTTAATGAAGACAAGCCTGGAAATGGGAGAGTGAGAAGCCTTCTCAAGGATAGTTAATAGTCTGGTGGGAAGAAACTGGTGTGAAATGGAGTCAAAGGGCTGGTGTCTTAATGCTTTCTTTCCCCATCAGCAACACCATTATCACAGACTCTTTTTGTGAAGAGTTCTCCAGTCCAGCAAAGAGCAAACAGCATATGTTTCATCAAGGGTTTCTTTTAAGTTTTATAGGGAAATAGTTACTAAAATTTCATAGCACCTTTTTCAGACAGGTGTAGCAATGACTGTTGACAAGGGAAACTAGACCAATAAATTAATGCTGATTGATGTGAAAGTGAAACAAAAATCTGGCTCTAAAATTGAATCTATGATCATACTCCACTCTGGAACAGTAAAAGGGCTTGATTGTAAGAATCAGTAGCTAAATTTACACTCATTTCGGGTTCTTTTTTACATTATAAAAGGTACGGTGTGGCATTCCTATGAAAATAGGGAATGTGCTTTGAGAACCCAGGTCTGTATGATGCTTCGTATGATGGTACAGGACAAACAAAACATGCTCAAATCTTTATCAGACCTTATTTACTTAAAATTAAGTTTCTCACTGGTTGAATAATCATTGATATTTGTATGCATTTCCCAGGGTTTTCTACTAATGTGTATGAAGGGTTGGAATTTCTGCAAGGAGAACAATTAACTATTGAATGCCATGTTATTTCACAGTATCTTTTCCACATACGTATGTGTAAGTGCTAAGGTAAATCCTAAAACTGCTGTTACAGTAGAGACATTTTTCTGAATTAGGTAAAGCTAATGAATTATTAGAAGGTAAACTATATTCCAGAAACATCTTTCTAGCTGCATATCTAAGCCAAACATGCACTCAGCAATTGCACGTGTCCATCATTCTCTTCAATAAATTTGGGTCTGAGGAACTGCAAAACAGTTTTTAAGCGTTTTTTAATTTTAATGAAAAGAAGCCACAATTTTCATGAAAGTGGATTCAGTACAATGCATAGATAGTCAGTGTTTGTCATGTTTCTTGAAATGAGAAATTGATTATCTTAAGAAATGACAGCTTTCTAAACCTGTAGGTAGTTGTAATTAGAATAACACAGTCATCCATCTGCTGTGGAATCCCTGAGGATTTTGGTCTGTTATAAACTTTGCAAATATGGAAAAATCAAATTAGTTTCGGTTGTTATCATTTCCAAGATGAGAGAAGGAAAAATATCTGATAAACCACTATACAGTTGCAGTGTTTAATTATAAACAGTAACACAAATCTTACTTGAAGTTTACTTTCTGCTAGCAGCAATGATACTGCTGTGATGTGGATTCAGATGAGTAAAATAACATACAACATGTGTGTTCAATGTTAATGGACTGTGTGTTTGTCCTTTCCCAGAATCAATACTTTTTAGTTTGCTTTTATTTTTCTTTCTTCTTAAAAAAGACCCCCAAACACTGAAAACCAAATCATTGATGTCTAGCTGTAATAAAGCAATAGGATGGCCAGAAACTGACATTTGCTGTAGTAGTAAAATAGGCATTACGTATTGGGGATATGACTTCCTAAAATAGCCCACTTGCTCTTCCTGTTAGCAAAATCCAGTTCATTGCGTCATAAATGCTTTGTGGAAATGTATTAGTTTTCTCAAGCTTGCTTCTTCTTCCACTTGCAGAGTCATCTAATATGTTGGTGTCTGGACTTCTTAATTGATCTCCGCCATGTGTTGCAGGCTGCCCAAACTTGGGAATGCTATGACCTTTCAGGATCAACTGGGTTTTTTTGGTAGCTCTAGTTGTGCAAATGACCTTGCAGTTGAGTTCTCCACTTCCACCAGACTTGATCTCTGAACCAGCTCTGTCATGTACTGCTAGAGGGCCAGAATGTCAGGGATTTCAGGTCTTGGCCGTAAAACTCCAACGTCACTGTGTGTTCCTTCTCTAGGTGAGGCTTAGTTCTCTGGCTGAACAAAATCTCATAACAAATTTCTGCTGTTTAATGAGCTCTTAATCTTCTAAGGGTCAGGTGGATTGGGTAATGAACTGAGAAATTTTTAAAACACTGATGGAAATCTATCAGTATAGAGCTGATCAGAAGGAGTAGTGAATGGCTAAATAAATACAGGACTGCAACTCCAAATTGGGCTGAAAGGGAAGGAGAAGGAAGGGCATTCTTCCTTTCCTGCATCATTTGATGAAAGCACTTCTTTAAAGAGGGGTGCCCACTTTAAAAGCAAAAAGCATTTTGGTCTTTGCCAGTTTATATGTAACTGGTCTGAAAATGTGGTTCATTCTTAATGATTTTGCTGCCAAAAACAGCTTGAGTGTTTGTAATGACCAGTACATAAAGAAGATCTAGATATGAAGAGTTTGATCTTGTATTGTTATGACAAGTGTACTGATGATGTAACAGATACTTTCAATAGTCAAGGTGGAATAGCACATGAGATTATTTAGCTCTGATGAGAAGCCAACAACATTCTCCAGCAATTATTCTTGGATCTTGTTTGCATTGTCTTCATTCACAGTTCAAATCCATCAATAATAATGCTTTTCTTTGAAATGGAATTTTTTATAGACAATTCTAACAATGACTGTGAGATTTGGACTGTTGGAAGTGCTCTAGATGAGCAGGCTGGTGGAGGAGATAACACCATCAAAAAATGGTAGCAAAATGGCGGAAAATATAGCGAGAAACATATGACTTCTGTTCTGCCCCAAGTCTAAATAATGTTTTAAAGTAGAAAACTTTCATAAGGACATCAGAAGGAGAGAGGATAGGTACTGACAAAACATAAAATTCTATACTGCCTGCTTGGGCACATGCCCATGGACAATGTCAGTGTTTAGGTACCTGTTGAAGAGTAAGTATTAAAGATTTTTGAAGCATCTGCATGAATTAGGCAGGTGGCTCCAGCCACTAAACTAAATTCTTTAGTTTAAAGTTATCACTGACAATTAATAGGTTACAGTCCTTGGTGTTTCAAAGGAAGCATCTTCTCTTTTGAATGAACAAGATTGTGTTAAATAACGGATTTAAAAAAGATTTGAGAGCAGGCGTAACAATATTTCTTATGATTAGCTTATCTGAAGTGTGTTTGGTAAGTTGCTAATATAAAGAGCAGTTGCATGGCTAAAAAAAGGCTAAAAAAACCCATATCATTTACACTTACAAATGGTCCATACTTACTGCTCTAGGGTTTTTTTAATGCGTTTTAGAATGAGAGATAAAGTCAACTTTCTATTATAATATTTTTTTTTTAGATTGTAAATTCTGATATCTTTCAAGTCACTAGATTAATTTTGGCTTAATTTCTGTTTTACAGTGTTTTACATTTTTTAAAGTAAGAAATATAAAAGAGCTGTTCAACATAGAATTTTTTTATTTTATTAGATAAATAAAAAGGAAGCTGCCAAAGCATGTTGTTCATGCCATTTAATAACAGCCACAGTGTTGTATCATGTTGTTGTCTAATTCACAGTTCAGAGGTGTTCTGTCCTTTGTTTGAGGATAAACGGCATTCTAATTTAGAAAATCGATCTGTCAATGCCTTTTGTTATGAAACCCATTGTGTTTCAAAACAGTTAGTTATCTTAGGTGTATTGATAAATATCTGTCAAATGAGTTTTGTAGAAAATTAAATTCAGTGTATTAAATCAGAGATACGAGCATCGTTACAGCAGTACAGTTGCAACGCACTCCTGCAAGCTTACTGGTGAACTTTTTATCTATGGATTGCAATATGCGGTATTTCAATATTCCACTTATTGTTAGTAACAATTTTCTAAGCTTAATGGAGCATTTAAGGTTTCTGGGTCCAGTTTTTAATCAGTGGACAGTGGTCTTTTGTGTATTCTAAATCATTTTACAGTTTTCTAAAACCTAGTCTTCCCAGTCTATTAATTGGTAAACAAAATGGAAAATCAAAACTTTTGACCGAGGACAAAGAGCCAGAGTTTGCGTGTTCGCATTGTGAGTTGTGGATTGGCAGCAACTTGACTGCCTAGTCTACAGAGCTATGATAATATCAAATACATTGGTCTACAAAAGCAAGAATTTTTGCCCTGATGAGGTACTATATAATATAGGATTATTATTCAATCCAAACTCTATGTTAATTTTATCTTCCTTCACAATACAGGGGAAAATATCAAAAGGAAAACTGACATGGAAAAAACCCTCTTCAGCAGCTAAGAAATTATTAAAACAGAGAAGAAAAGGCAATGAGAATCGATGAAATCAGTTGTGGTGTTTTGATGTTAATGGGAAATAAGCATTCAGTACTTGCTGTAAACTGTAACAGAATGGAAGCTGGGCTCAGATTGTGGGTTGTGATACGGCTGTCCCTCATTACACCCCTGCTGGGCTGGGGTACCAGCTGCTTTGCCACCCGCAGGAGGATCCACCTCAAAATGGAGACAGGGCTTCCTTGGGGCTGAGAGGTTGTTACACTGCTTGCCCCTCTCCTGCCATTCTATATGATTGTGTCAGGACTGAACTAGCCATTAGTCATAGCCCACTCATTCCGATTCCCCCTAGTTTCTGGGATGTAAGTATGCCTCTTGCCTTCACAGTTGCACACAGGAACCTGGAAATGAATTGACTTAGTATGGTAATTGCAGCCTGAGTAAACAGGTAACTTGGAACAGGAGCTGTGAAAAGATACGAACTCTTTCACTCGTCTCGGTGGGTTTTTAACTGAAATGTATTCTTCCAAATATTGTGTTGCTGGTATGCTATGCAAAAGTTATTTCAACTTCTGTTCTTTGGGTAAATAAAACCTCTGATACGGGTTTGCTATTTCAATCCCATCAGATTATTGAATAAATTCATTTTACTCAAAGACCAGTTGCTTTTTCGTATGTATAAATGTATTTGTCAAAAGTACAAGGTTAATTTCTCATTACCCTAACATTTAGATCGTTTTCCGCTATTAAAGTTTTAATACAGAGCGGGTTTTTTTTCTTACCATACTTCCTCTGCTGAATTTCATTGCTTTATTGTCGAGTCATTTTGCTGTATTGTTTCATTCATTAAAATTTTAACCTACTTCATCTCATCTAAGCAGAATCCTCTTTTTTTTTTTTCTTTAAATTTTCTTCCTAACCAGAGGCATTTTCTCCCTTAACTTGTGAATATTTCATCTTTAATACCTTAGTCCTTGTTTGCTTACCAGGAACATAGAGTGTTTACCTGAATGGGTAGCCAGGGAATCCTTCAGTTTGATTTCTGTATCTGTCTGAGAAGGATATATAAAAAATACATATGAAAGTTACTGTGTGATCTGCTTAATCAGATTTTTACATTTATCACTTACAGGAATGTATTTTTAACTTCTGCTGCCATATCTGTTATTTACATTTTTAACAAATTATGTCACTTGTTAGGGTTTGTGTTTTTTTTAATTTATCTGTTCCGTTTGTTGTTTTTTAAGTAGCACTTTGAAAGAAGTATATTAAAGGTTTAAGCCCTCAGCTTTGTAACTCATAATATTACTGGACTAATTTTTTTCTGAGGTATAGTTATCTTGGATGATATATGTACATGACAGAAATAATGCCCCATTTTTAATTGCATTTAGAATTTAAAGTTTTGAGAAAATATTACAACGGAGGTTGCTCTAATTCATCATTTATTAATTTGTCTAACTTGGATTTTTAATTTAAGCAACTGCAGAAAATGGGGAATATATTACTCTATGTGAAAGAACAATACATAGAAATAGAGGATTTTTTAAATCCATCAGTTATAAAGTTTTCTGTGATTCATATCAAAATAGAATTTTTGTTAATAAAGTTGATTTTACAGCTAAGAGACTTTAAGGTCACTGGAATGGAAGAAAGTAGATCAGAAAATGCTGCTTTATCTGATTCCTTGGCCAGAAAGAGTAAAGCTCTACTAAGAAATGGGACTGAAAACGAAGATGATGTTTGTTTACATCATGCTGTAAAACTAATTATAACTATACTAACAGTGAAGATTTCCTTATAAAGAAGGTGATTTTAATCAAAAAAATAAACATATATGAAGAACGCGGGTTCTTGATGCATCCTTTACAAACACTACTAAACTCATTTGGAATAAGAAACAGTTCTCCAGAATTTGTATTCATATATAAAAGAAGCTTTACATTAGTATTCAGTTAAAATCATATTTATCATAATCCTTTACTATATTTTTTTTCTTTTGTTTTAGCCATGGATGCAGATGTGAAGAATGAAAGCCTTTCATCTGTGCAGCAGCTTGGTGTTGAAATGACAGTCAGGTACATGGTATTAAAATATTTCCCTAGTGTATTTCTAGGATTTGTTTGATTTTCATGGAGCGACTTTAATGATACTTAATCCATCAACTCAGTGCTTTATACTGTTTAAATCTAAAGATCATCTTTAAGAAAATGAATTCTGACTTTGAAAATGAAAAAGGTATTAGTATATAATTAAATTATCTTTACAGATTATATAGGTTATTATCCTTTGTTGTTGTAAAGGCTAATTGTAACTTCTTAGTAAGATTTACCGTAAAATTACATTACCCTGAGTTATGTGTCTTTTGTTACCTCACATTACTTCCCTAAAGGGTTCTGTTTAGCTAAGCTTTGTTATATGCCATTTAAACATTTTACTTGCCTGGTAATTTGCAGAACCATGATGAAGGAAAACCTAATGTGTCTGTACTTCCACAGATTGTTATCTTTAGCATTAATATTTGAATTTTGATGCTAATAATTACACATAAAATATACTTAAATGGAATTCTAAATAATGTATGTGAAGAAAATGAGTCGTGTGTTAGAGTACTTGCTGCTCCACACCGCAGTCTTAAAACTGAACTACAAGGAATTTAGATGAGGAATTGCAACACTGAGTAGCAGATGTTTGGTGTGTATCCCTCCCAGATAAAGCATAATAGGTTTTATTAAACCGTTTCTGTGTATATCTGCAACATAGTGTATGCGATGATCAACGCTATGACAGCTTAACTTTCACAGGCCTGTTAAATATGAGGGGTTTTTTTAATTTTATTTTTTGTAATTCCTAAGCTTAAACTGTTTTGGTTTTTAACTTTTTGTGCTAGATACGGAAAATATCTAAACTTGCTAAAAGAACATGCTGAAAATGAGCTGTGCTTCGTGTTAGTGAATTGTGAGAAATTTCTGAAGCAGCAGCAGGGAACTGTGGTATCCTCACTTTGTATCCTTTCACAATGGCATAAATCTTATTGCCTAAAAATGCTAGTGGAATTTGAACTCTCGTTTTGGGCTTCTGATGGTGGTGTATATGTGTAATAGATACTGAGAGAAAAGAAAAAAAGCAGGACTTTTGAAATTTTGTTAAGTTAAAATGCAATATCCAGCGCACTCAAGAAAATCTTCACCCTTTTGTTCCTATACTTTGTTAAATTGTAAGTCTCATTCATTTTTGACATAAACTTTTGGAATAGGATGACATCTTTCTGTATGTGATAAAGAGTCTGCAACAATGCACCTTTGAGCATTAACAAGTATTTGTGGTAGTCCTACAATACCAACAACTTTAATGGTATTTCCCATGTAATGATATGTGGCTGTAATCTCATCAACAGGAACGTTTTGACTTCTGACTCTTCTGCATCTCCTGTGGAACTTTCTTTTAAAATAAAACAGATACCCCATTCCAACAAGCTTTGCTATATTCTTCAGATATTAGACTTACATATTGCTATTAAAATACACTTCAGGTGTATTAGAGTATGCTTAATCTCTTTTTTAAAGTTTTTCTTTTACTTTGTTTTTTTTTTTCCATAATCTTCACAACTCCTGTTTTCCTCCTCCACCTTTCTCCTCTCTTATACTATAAGCACATTTGGTTTGGCAACGGGCTTTTTGCATTTACTTGGGTTTTGTTTACTTTTGTTGATTTGGCTTGACTGCTAATGGACTGGAGAAAAAAAAGTAGTGTATAGGGAAAAATAGCTTAAATAATTTCTTTTCATTCATTTTGAGAGGCAGCCGTGCCTCAAGAAGCTGCCTTCTGTGCAGCTCTATTTCCCCATGTCCCATCACTAACAAACCAGCTTTTGCCTCTCTGTTCGTGGGCCTGGGGAGGCAGAGGGCTGGAGTTACTGCAGGGCGAGGAGGAGGAGATCTCTGCCGAGTTCCTTAACCTGCTCACGAAGGCTGCTTGCAGGAGCGCTGTCCTGGCTACGACTGGTTTGCGTCTTCTGTCTTCCTCATAATGGCAGGGGACCAGGAGAAGACACTGACGTTTCTTCAGCGATTTTCACGTCTTCTTGTTTCAGCATTTCTCTGGCTACCAAGGCTGCATAAATCTGTAAGAATTTATAAGCTGTTTCTTTCTGAAAGGCAACTTTGAAAGTTTCTAAAGAAGACTTTATCAATTTCCTTAGTTTTGGGTGGAATTTTTTTTAATGCATTAAGTTTTCATTAAAGCCCTCTAACTGAATACATGACCTTGAAAAATTCCCTCAGAAAAATACAGATTTGACATTTGATCAAATGGTGGTTTAAAAGTAGTGAAGTAACAGGTGGACTGATAGTAAAGGCAATGTTACTGAATTTTAAAGCTGGCAGTAAAGTAAACTTTGTTAATGGCATTAAATTCTGTGTGAAGGCTACGATACTGTTGAATGACTTTTTTTTATTATTACAGTGTGTAAGTCCATCCTTTTGATTTTTTGTAGTAAAACTGTTTGGTTTAAAATTTGCTAAATATGCTATAATGTATTTAGCAAATTTTAAAACTTATTACTGCCCAAATACTGAATGCTTGACAATTTTAAATTATTAGTATTTTGGATCAAGTTTGTAGTATAGGAAACATAATTTCCATCTTTTATTAGGGGCGATTCCATCTATTTAAAATAAAAACCTTCCAGTTTGTCTTTATACATTGTCATATTGTCTTGAGTGTTTTGAACATAAATTATAAACCAGCTGTAGTCTTTACTAGAGAATTCAGGGGTTTAAGAAGCGCAGATTAGATTCTGTACCTCTTCTGCCTGCAAGCTTCTGTATTAATATGAATTGGTCTGGGCTTGTCACCAGAAGTGACCGTATTGGTCCACTCGCAGCACTGAGTCCAGCCCTCGGACTGTTTCCAGCACAATGAAATTTTGCTCCATTTTGAAAGTATAACTGTGCTGAACGCTGTCAGTGCTGAGAACTTCAGTGTCGTCTTCCGTACAAGAACCAGCCAGCAGTACAGGCAGCTTGCTGCAGTGTGAATGTTCCTTCTCAATACCGAAATGATTTCTTTTTCATAATGTATCTTGAAAACACATACTGCAAAGAAACGTGCACACAGAAAACAGCTTTAAGTACCATAGAGGTTCCACTCTATCCACCAGTAAATGGAAAAAAAATATTCCAACAGAAATTAGTCGTCTTCTTTTTTCCTTTTGTTCTTTTGTTTAAAATATAACAATGGTTTCTCCATCCCTGCTTTGATAATTAAGGCTTACATGCAATAAAGAACTAGATTGGTAATGCAAAGGAATACTGAGGATATATCTAATAACAGTTTCTAACTTAATTTTCTTTAGTTTAACTACATGTTTTTCCTGATGGTAGTGACAGCTTTTTTGTGTATTATATTTCCTGTCTCTAAAATAACTGGGATGACTTATCTTCCAAGTAAACGGATGTATTTTTATATATTGTTCTCTGCAAGGTGTTTTAAAATAACACATTTCTGTAGTCTGTAATCCGTTTCCTCAATTATGTTGTTGATGATGATGTTGTTTTCATCAGATGCACCTGCCTATTACCACCGTGGAATCTGGTATCCATCCAGTCTATTTTTGCAGTGCTCACCACATTGAAATGTTGCTGAAAGCTGAGTTGCCACTTGCCTTTTCAGCCTTCCACATGTCTGGTTTCACTCCATCCCAGGTAACTGATGAGAGCATATCAAAATGTCATCAACTTTTTGACTTAAATCCACAAAATCAAAGATGTTCAGGAGCTACTGTGATTTTTCTATACAGCATTTGTGTGGTGGTTATGAAACGGGGTAAGAGAGAGCACTGAGCACATAGTGACTTAGAGCTTCTGAAAAGAGAAAGCAACTGACTTTGGAAGAATAATGACAGCGTACTACAGCTGATGACCTTCCATTACATGTTCATGCAGAATATTTGATAAAAGTAATATATACTAAAACCTCAGATTTATCGTTAAAATAAATAGAATATCTTATTCCCTGGAATAATTTTCTAAAGTTTCCATAGAATGGAAATGAGTAATTTGGGATAGGTGTATAATAGAAAGCAGTTCAGGTGATACTAGAGCAAAATTAATTTTTTATGAGCTACCATAGCTCTTATAATCAGGTAACACACTATTCTTCTGTACTAAAGAGGTGTTACTGAAGAAGAATATTTATCCCTAATGTTAGCTTTCATTTTACCTACTTACTGCAATTCTTTGGTAGTATGGAAAGCTATGTATGGAGCATTACTTGTAAAGACTATAGTCACAATGAAGCATAAACAGCTTCATGCAAGAATGAGTTAGATTGCCAGTGCAAAGGACTGCTTACCACAGTAAGAAAGCTGATTGCTGTTCCAAGGCAAGAAAAATATTTTCCATCTTATGCCTTCAAAATTCCTTTTTGCCACCCGATTTGCAGCTTAAGAGACTTCTTAATGAGGGCAGATGCCAGTGTGGTATGGATAATTGCTTAAAATAGTCAGCTTGGGATTTGGTCTTTGAGAAGACTGGCAGATGACAGACTTTATCTCAACGTAAGAATGAGGTGTTCATAATAAGGTTCCTGTTTTGGGGTGGGGAAAACACATGGGAACAGTTGCTCCTTCCTCAGCTATTCTTGTGTAAGTTATACTGTATGCTATTTTAATTGTTTGCACTCAATTAATAATAGACAATAATTTATTATTCTAAACTACTGACAAGGTGTTTTGTTTGGGGTGTTTTTCTTTTTTTTATTTAACGTGTTATTGAAATGCCACTGGTAGGTGCCACTGTATCTTCTGTGTGATCTTTGCAGTTCTGCAGGTTTAAAAACAAACAAGCCCTGAACTGTGAAAACAACACTGATGTATTCAAGTACTTGTGTGCATCAATAAATACCTGAGAAGAGTTTTAATGCCAGAGTATCACTGCTGTCATCTAATTAGAATCTTGGTACTTCTGCTGCTGCATATTTTTAAACACTTTAAGGACTGATTAGCAGAAGATTTGTGGCCTAGAACTAAATTAATACATACCTTAATACATTGTGATTTAGAACTGGAAAAGGAGAGTCGCTAGTTGTGTTCCATACCCACTTCATTAAATGAAAACGTGTCTTAGGGAAGGGCCTAACATTCATTTGTAAGGCAAAGAACTACTTTAATTTAAAGGAGAATCCCCATTAAATACACCCTCATCACCCTAATTACCCTTTAGGTCACATTTTAAAAAAACTCTTGAAAAAAATCACCTTCAGTTTCACTGGGCTTCGAGTTTTATGGCTCAACCTCAGGAGTTGCCAGAATATACTCAGGTAAGTGAGATGCATGGATGCAGGGTCTTATGTTTAGCAGAACTCACTGGGAGTCTATTCAGAGGCTGTGATTTTAAAAAAAGGTGATTCTTGGCTTCTTTTGTACGTTATCCCTTTTATTTTCATAAGTAGGGTAATGTTATAGGAAAAAGGATCTGTAGTAGAGAAAAGAGATAAAACTGATCGATTATGACTGAATGTCTACTGAAATTTAATTACATATAACTTCATTCTCATCTAGATTTGTCTGCAATGGATAACTCAGTGTTTCTGGAATTACATGGACTGGAGTGAGATCTGTCACTACATTGCTATATGTATTTTCCTTGGGCCTGATTATCAAGTATATATGTGTATTTCTGTGTTCAGACACCTACAGCAAGACATCCTGAAGCATGCTGAAGCCCAAGATCTTCAGGTTTTTCTTAAAGTAAGGGTTTCTTTTTTAGTTTTTCAATTGCAGAAGGGAAGCAAAGCTCTCAATACTGAGAATAGATGTTACTTAATCTGAAGCTGTTATTGAATTTCACTTATTGAGTAAAATGATTCTTTCATTTTATTTACTTCCCAGCAAGAAATTGTGGTATAGTATTTTCCAGAGAATAGTTTTCCTGCATTTTGTCCTGATCAGTTGCCTTTGTAAGCAAATAGTCACATTAAGTCATGAGGGCATTTGATTCAGTTCTCTCTATGTGGCCTCAGTCTCATTTAACGAGATGTTCTACAGAAAGGTGGTTTTACACCGTGATCTCCTACTGAAGCTTGAAGAGACGTCGCACAAAGCTCAGTGAGCTGTTGTTTTGAGCGGATGCCATTTACTAAACAACCAGCCTCACAGTTTCATATTCTTTGCTGTATTACAAATTATCTTTGGTTATTGGATTCTTTTTGCAGATTACAGCTTAGCTATAGATGCAGTCGTGAATAGATACAACTACTTGACTTTTTTTCCCCAGAGACATTTTTGCTTTTTTTTCTCTGGTCTCTTTTTTTTTTTTTTCCCCTTCCAGTCAAAATTCTTTTGAGAACTATATATCTGCATATTAGTCTGTCCTAACAATAGTAGTTTTCTGACTAGTTTGCATCCAGCTTACATGTTCTTAAATATGAATAATATGTCAGCTCAGTAACTTTCCTTGAAAATGTTTGGTACACAGTCTGAGTGAATTGTTCTGTTTGGCCTAGTTTTGGTCAGTGTGGGTTAAAAACTCCTTCATCTTGATGGCCTTATTAGGATAGTTTCTGTAAATTATAGAAGAGCGAATTTGAATGTTGTCACCTACAGTATAAACAGGCCAAAGATTTGACATGGTACTGTTAAATTAATGAGAAATACTGTATATTAATGCACTATTGGAGTATTTACAATCCATTGAGTAACTAGTGCAGACAAAAAGGAGTTAATAGCATACTTAAACTGTACTTTTGCTTTTGATAACTCCTAATTCATCTAAAGAAAAAAAAAATTGTTCTGTCCTTGTATTCATTCAATTTCAGCTATATTATGGGTTTCATTTGAGGTTACTTGGGTTTAATACTTGCAAAGGTGTTGGTCAGCTGCTGTTTTACTGAAATAACCAACTTCAGTTTCAAGTTTTAGCCTATTTCTCAGCACAACATTCACAAATTTGCATTACTGTAGTGGAGCAATTCTCTTAAAAGTGGAAGTATAAACTATTCTGAGAACATAATCCAAGTTAAGAAAAGAACCCAACACAGCTACAATCTTTGAATATTAAATTTTTTTTTAATTTAATGTCACATCTTGAACTTCATACTGACAATGATCATTTACTATATGAACAAGTCCTGCTGCCTATTTTCCTTCCAAGAACCAGTAGTACTTTCTATTTTTAACCATTTAACATGCTTTATGACTGTAATCAAAAGATGATGATTTGACAGGAATACACATTTGTTGGTATTACCTAAAAGTAGTTCCAGCTAGCTATTAAAATTAAAACCAAGTATTTTCTTCTTAAAATATTGTTGTATATAAATATACTTTCATTTGCACATGACAAAAGGAGTTGGAGTCAACTTTGCTGTCAGTTCTGATGACATTATGCCTAGCACTTAAAATTACTAAAACATTCACCCTTTCAATGTGTCCTTCTAGTCCTAAAAAACAGGTGAACACCTGTGAAAGAGATCACCTTCTATTACTTTGTAATTTGCCTTTCCTCTAAGTAATGAATTGTCCATGAACATTTTTCCAGTTCTTTCTGTTGTCTGAGATGGGTTACTAACAGTTATGATCCCTTCGAGATATCTTGAAGTTTCAGCATTAACTGAATTTTAAATTTATTGCTTGGTCTTTTATTAATCCTTTCATTGAAGGATGAAGGGGCCTAGCTTTGCAGTTTCCACATGTGAATGAAGAATACTGTAACCTACTGCCTCAGTAAACCTGTCTTGACTATCTTGGTTTCATTTGGCTAAAATAGAGAAACTGGGCCTACAGGGTTTGTGACTTCTTGTAATAGTATGTCAGTCTTTTCTAGGAGTAATTTAGCTACTCTTCACTTTATTTTCTGTGAGTATGGGCCATATTGACAACTAAGTTGCTGACCAGTACTTTAATATGTGCACACATTTAATCAATATAGGATTTGACTGCTTAAAAAAAAGAAAAAAAGAAAAAAAGTGAAATACATACTACAGTTCTCTCTTGGAGTCATTTTTCTTTTCCACTGTAGTCAACCTTCATGCAGTGTGAGAAGAGCAACTTGGAAGGTAAAATCATGCCTTTGCTTTCACTTGTGAGTAGGGGAGGAAAAATACAAAGACCATCTCGAATTCCTGTTCAGATGCCAAAGTGCAGCCTTCCAAGCCTGAGGAGATGTTCTCAGGAGAATGCTCCTTAGCAGAGATGCGCAGTCACTACACCAGCAGGTACAACGTGTCTGCAGGGACTGTCTGGCTTCAGAGAGCTTTTTGCAGTGCCTGCTGTCAACCGTGGTGATACTGCTTAGTAGGTGGTGGGCCCACAAGTTGTTCCAGTTCAAAGCAAATTCACCTGTCTTACCTAAATTGTTTTTCAGGATCCTGCTTTCTGCTGTGCATCCTCCCTCTCCCTCTAATATATTAGCTAAAAGAGGGAACATGGCCTGTTTGTTTCTCCTTACTGAAGGCATCTTCTTTTACTCTAGGCTTTGGAATTAGTAAGAATTAATTGTTTGGGGTGATGCAGAAGTGTTTATTCTGAGTTTATTTAAGCAATTCATAAAGATCTTTATCATTGATTTTAAAAATAAGTATCTACTGTTACTCTCCTGGTTTTATGGAGAATCTAGTTGGATATAAAAGCCACATTAACAAACTTTTAGCATGCCATGTGCTGGTATAGAAATGTTTGAAAATAATATTTTGGTACCTGGCTTTGCCTTCTTAAAACTTACTTTGTTTTCCTTAAAAATCTTCATATGGCATGTTCTCCAAAAATGAGAAGAACAACATCCACCTGAAAAAAAAAATTGTTACCAAGACTGTAATTAGAAAGAACTCCCTGGAAGCAGATATTACCAATTCTTTATTTCTGAATGAAATGTAATAAAATGTATGTGTATTAAACACCCAGGCTGTGACAAGCAGAACAAAATAAGCTACCTTTAGAAGCTTGGAATTCATTAAATTTGAGTTGCACATCTTTTTTTTCCTAGCTTATAAATGTTTTCTGTGTGTATTTGTGCAGGAAGAAGCACTCCATGGATTTCGAGTGATTGATTATTTAGAATACATGGAAAGCTTGGAGGCGATGTACAGACCTATGCTGCTGAAAGACATGAGGAACATAAGAGTGCAGAACACATAGATGAAGAAAACAAGCACTTTATTTTCCAGTTTTGGTTACTGGATGGTTCCAGTTTTGAAAGGATGCTGATTGATTGATATATCAATCTCACCTAAAATAAATCAGGCTGTGTAAATGTACATACTGTAAAATAAATAAGGAAGGGTTTCAGAATATAGTTTTTGCAAAAGGACTTAATCTAAGTTTGATGACCTAAAATACCACATTTTCCCAGGCACATATATATGCAGCCTCATTTGCAGTGAGCAAAAAGTAGAACCCACCTGTAGGATGCTGAACTGTCTTCCTTGTAAAGCCTTGAAGCTGTTCCTAACTCGTTGTATTATTGCCTTCTCCTTGTAGCACAGTCCTAAAACCTTCATATTTTGCTGGGGTCTGACAAAATGATTTTTCTTAGAAACAACTGCTAGTGTGTATCCATATGCATGAAAAGTCAACAAATGAAAAACAAATTCCCTGTACACAGCTGTTCTGACCTTGTGGATGAAGTTGAGAAAATGGAGTGTTCAAATACATGCATTGAAAAAAGACTGATATTCTTGTCTTTTTTAAAAATAAAATAAATAATTTTGTGATATAAAACATACATTTGTAACATACACTGTCTGTCTGCATAAGTGAATGAGAAGTCCTTGAGCAGCCTGCTTTTCATAGCTCTGGAAAATGATCGTCTTTAAAGATTCTGGTTTCATTCAGACATGAAAAAAAATAAGCTTCATCTGTGCTCACCTTTTGTCATCAATGAAAAGCAAGAATTAAGGCTGCTAGATATTTTCTAATACCTGTGCCATGTGGGTAAAATTTCAACGTTGTTGAAGTAAACAGAAATTCAAATTGGTAAATTGCCCTGTACCGTGTAATATCAGACCCTTAGTACCTTGATGTTTCCAATGACATTGCTTTTTCATCAAGTGAAACAAGATTCAGCATCTCTAGCAAAAAGTTACTTATCATCTGTATTCTTATAAGATGTTATATTTATACTGTGAAGTTTATGTAGCCAGCATAATTGGTCAAGTCCCTGCTGTAACTAATTTAATAACTAAGCAGTACAAATTCCCCAAACATATCCTAGTTATGTAGGCAACATTACCAGATGATGTTACATAGTGAAAGTTAAGCATCAAGTAGTTCTTTATTTGGTTAAAGAAGTAGGGAAAATATTATGTTTTATCAACACCTGCAATAATATTTTCTTTGCAGAATGTCTGGAATCTCAAAATATTTTGATTAGAATTTCTGATATAAAAAAATATTTTAGAAGTCCAACAGCAACTACAAATGTTGAATTTAGACTTGTCCAGTATCATTGCCACGTTCCTGTGAGACAAACTAAACATACTGCAGAGTTCTTGAAAAACAACTTCACTAGATAAAATGAATGTGTGAGCACGTACACAAACTCAAATTATAAAATACATTAGACCCTGCAGTGAAATTTGTAATTATATGCAACCTAAGAGTGAACACTGACAAAGGTTTTGCCACTAATTTCTATTTTCCTGACTGTGCATTTCAGAAATCCATGGGTTTAACTTTTTTTCCTGTCTAGAAAAACAAAGTGTTTTAAATATTGTTGGACTTTTGTGAACTGTCTTGGCTCAACTACATTAATAAAAGAGGCTGGCAAGTACGAGGAAAGAATTATGACAACTGATGGAACCAAGTATTTGCCTGACACCAGGGTCAAAGAATGCTAAGACTCCCATAAAATCTGTTCTTTTAGCCTTAATAGCAGTCTCTCTTTTTTTTTTTTAAAAAATAACTTTTGGGGCATATATCTCAAAATAAGCAAATGACAAACATTTAGATGGTGAGTAACACTAGAAAACTAGTATGTTTGTGCTTCTAGAAATCCTGTACATTCTTAAAGAGACTGTGATTGATTAAGCTACCACTTACTAAGCAGCAGGGGAGGTTTAGATTGCATATTAGGCAAAAATTCTTCACCAAAAGGGCTGTCAACCATTGGAACAGGCTGCCCAGGGGAGTGGTTGAGTCACCATCCCTGGAGGTATTTAAAAGAAAGACATGCAGATGTGGTGCTTAGGGACATGGTTTAGTGGTGGGCTTGGCAGTGCTGGGTTAACAATTGGGCTTGATCTTTTCCAACCTAAACAATTCTATGATCCTGTGAAGGCATCAGTTCCTTTATCAGCAGCAGATATCTGTCAGGAAAACTAGCTCTTGTGCTAGGCATTGGAGTAACCCAGGACTCTTGCCATCGAAATAGCTGCCACTTTGTATTCCTCATCCCCTAACAAAGAAGAGAGAGGCACTGCAGAGCTGACCCTTAATATCAATGACTTTCATCAATATTACATCAAATCAGTGCAAAGGGGTACAGTACACAATAACGGGGAAGATGAGTCGCATACAAATATAAAGCAAACAGCCTGAGTGCCAAGTGCTGCTACTGACAAAAGCACTTTTCGCATTGCCTCCAGTAATTCAATCAGCTACAGTTTCCCCATCTGCAAAACATCTACTATTTCATACAGTCCATGTAGGTGCTGAGATGATTAATTAGAGAATATTTGTAAAACATTTAGTGCATGAAAATTCTCTGTAAATGATAAATCTTAATAGCTGATAATAATATAAAATTCCATTGTGTCCTGTGACAGAACCAGGACATTGACATACGTTACAAATACACTGAAACAGAAGTGACGGTAGTCAGGGAAACCAATGGCATCTTCTTTGGATCAACAACAGTCTGAAAACAAATGACCGTTTTAGCAACAGATATCTGAAGACATGCTCACATGCTATATTACCTCTGGTTTGAAGACTCCGTCATCCAGCGTGACTGGCTGATACGTAAATTTTTCCCCTTGCTCATCTCCACATTTTCTTTCAGGGAACTAAAGTCTAATGAGATATAGATGTTTTCTAACTCTAAATCTATTTGTATTATTCTGGTTGCCTCTTCCAGCTTCCTTTTCCCTGCTTTCCATCTTGATTGTATTTACCTCTCTCAGGCTTTTTCCTCTCTTATTTTCAGCTGTCTCATTGTTCCCAATCCCCAGTGACAGTCCAACCACTAAACGATAAGTGTTTCCTTGCTCGTACCTAAAATGTGTAACTAAACACGATTTAAAATAAACAAGGGGGGTGGGGGGAAACCCTAAATAAAACCCCAACTTGGAAAAAATTGAGAAGCCAGTTGTAGGAAGACGTGACCTCCCAAATAAGCTGTCAGCAGTCCTGACCCAGTGTCAGACGGGGGGAAGCCAAGAACTGCTGCCTCTGCCTGTCTGCCCCAGCCCTCGAACCAGCAGCTGAATAGAAACCTCCGTGTTCTCCCTCAAAGACATGCACTTTCCAGGCCACCTCCTTCAGCAGCCTCTGCAGCATGACTCAGCCTTTTGGGATAAAATCAGTAATCTACAAAAATATTTTTCACCTGCTAAGTGTCTGCCGTGTTGCCTTTTGCCAAGTTATTTTACTTCTGATAACTTGGGAGTACCTATGAAAAAAAAAAAATACAAGTAATGCTTACTTGCTTTTGTAGAAATGACAGTTCTGCAAATGGAAGCAGTTTTCCCATTACCATATATATAATTGCTCATGCAACAAGAGAAATACTGCAGTGGAAGCAACTAGAAGGTTAAAAAAAAGTCCTTTAGATCTTATAGGAAAAAAATAGATTAAAGTTAAGTAGTTACACTCTAAACTGTTTTCCACTGTTTTAAGATGTCCAACTCAAACCCTCACTAGGTCAACAAAGTCTCAGCTTCTCTAAAGCATTTTGTGTTGTCTTAAAGTAACTTCTAGCTAATCCATAGCAATATTCCATAGATTTCAAAAGGAGATAAGTTTGAGTAACGTTAAAATATCCAAGTAAATAGCCTGGACTTCAGTCTGACATGTTATCATTAATGACAAGAGATCCTAATACAGAATAAAAGCAGAAGCACTGCTGAGCTGACATTCAGAAGGAAGTCAGAAAATGCCGGAGTACAGGCATAGGTGTGGTGTCATACGATGCACAGTAGTGACACAATGCTTCATTGCTGATCTCTTTGCATTTCATCACCTAAGGCATGAGACTTATCCTTTATTGCTTGTCCATGTAGTAGTAGTGAACATGTACTCAGTTCAATCATTTGCGTTTTTGAGACAAGGATGATGCTTCAAGGATAGCAAGAAATTTGGCAAGAAGAATGGAGCTAGCACTGGTAAAGTTTCAGGACAATCAGGGGATCAGGTCCAGCCAGCATGGGGTTATGAAAGGCAAATCCTGCTTGACCAACCTGATCTTCTATGACCAGGTGACCTACCTGGTAGATGAGGGAAAAGCTGTGGATGTGGTCTA